CAAATCATTCATTATGGGTTATGGGTTTAGGATATTCAAAGATCAAGAATCTCATGAAAAATCCTAAGAGTTGGGGGTTATGGACATCTACATATATACAATATTTATAACACTTTCCCTTGGATGTCCAGAACAAATATTGTGCGTCATTAAAACCTTACTAGGAAAAACCTATTAGGACAAAAACCTAGTAAAGGAAAAAGAGTACACAATATATATTGGAGCTGCCTCATTTAAACCCTTACAAGGAAAACCCTGTGGGATGAAATATTGGCTAAGAAAAAAGAGTACAGTATAATCTTTACTCCTTCTGATGACGACATCACTTTTACTTCCCCTTGTCAATAGCATCACTCTTTATCATTTTATTATAGTAAAGTATACTAATTTCTCATGTCGTCCAATGCCTTTTCAAGCATATCTTCTTTTTAGCTAAGCTATGCAAGGTACATTATCATCAAATTATATTGAAATGTATTCCTCTAACATATCTTCTGAATATGTGGAATTATCAATATATTTTTCACTTGCACCAAGAAAATTGCAAAGAAAGGTTATTCTGAAAAACACCATAATATATCTTGCATCGACATGATTTAATTTGAACAAAATGATATCATATAATAGTTTCATAGAACTATTATATATAATCTCAATTTTGTTATTCACATGCATATATACCTACAAAAACTTATCTTTACCAACAAAATGATAACACGTAATATTGACAATATATGTAAATATTATTATAGACTAAATATATGGGACTTCTAGTCTATTTAGTATAATATATTTTACAGACAAAATTATCATAACAAAAATCAATCATTTTGCAATCACTGATGCATTCAATAACTTGATCTACAGGTCAAGTAAGATACAAAATTATTTATTTTCTAACACATTTTTCTGAGCTAAATATGTATACTCAGCTTATCTTAATCAACATAATATTTTAAATATTGGATGATTTTCTTCTTTATATATGCTTTTGGCATTTTAAATCCTTTAAGAATTCTAATGTAAAACTTCATTATTTAGTAAACCACATGCATAGACTATAACGATATCTAATAGACGCATATTTTAAAATAATATGTGCAAAAATTATTGCATCCATGACAAAATAATATGTCTAATCATTATCACTAGACCTTTGTAAAATTCTTTATTTTCACAAAAAATATACATATGTCACATAATAACTTTGTATTTGATGCATTTATACTGCAAGTCCATAATTTTCACATATTAAAATAATATAATTATATTTCCATTGTATCTTTTCTCTTTTCACAAAAATCACCAATTCTTTGTCTGCCCATAACAAAAAATATATATTAGTTCTTCAAGAACTATATTAATATTTTTACATATAGTTTTTCAGAAACTATATAATTTGAAAAGAATAAGGAGACAAATTCATCTTAATAACATCGTAATACATAATAATGAATAGTTATAAGTATCATAGATTTAACTTCCAATATATATAAAGTTTACATATGTTGCAAAAAAGATTTTGTCCAACCAATCAAAATCAATATCAAGTATTGATAATAATTTTTTATAAAATTAAATAACTTTCCATTCTCTCAATTCAAATATGACATAAATATATGATTTTTGTTTTTCTCACAAGACTAATTTAATTTAAATATATAAGATCAATGATCCATCATTTAAAAAAAAAAAAGATTAACATACCTCTTAATATTAGAATAGAGGAATAAAAATATCTAATTTTTTTATAGTATTTCAAAATGTTCAAAACTTAAAGAATTAAATGATATTTGAATTAATCCAACATTCGTAAAATTTTCTTAAAAAAATAATTATCATTTACGTGTGCTTAATTTCTTTTCATAAACAAACTCATATAGTTAAAAGAAACACAAAATATAGAGGATCCTTTAAATATTTTTTTTAATAATAAAGTGTAAAATTAAATGTATTGTTCAAAATTTCTCAACATTAATCAGGATATCATATATCATTTATTTAATTTACAACACTTAAAATATATATGTCATTTGAAAAAAATACTTACATATTATATGAATGCTTAGTTTTCCTTTCTCAACTAATTTCTTATAACTGCAAATACTAATAATAAAATTTATTATTAGTAAATCACAATAAATCATTCAAACTAATATTAAATAAGATAATATGAATATGATATAAATGAACAAAATATGAATAATATATCATCTCTTTCATTTGCACACAAATGGTAGAATAAAATATCAATATCATAATATGACCATCTTTTAGGTTATTCTATTAATATGAATATAAATTATATTCATATTTCATATGCTTAAATATACAAATAAATTGGCAGAATAAATTAATATTTCAAAACGACCAATAACTACTTTTTGGTATATTTTGTTTCATATCACTCTTAGAATATTTATCAATATCTCAATATCAAATACTTATAGTAATATGTTTCTACCAATCAATCACAAGAAATTTAAAGTAATATCATATAGCATTATGCATATAGCCTTTTGGGCTTATAATTATATTTTTCAGTTTTAACTACTTTGAACATATTTCGTCACAAGACATTATTTTGGGCATCATAACTATATTTAATACTTTTCATAATATATTCTGATCTTTGATTTCATAAGCAATTTTAACATTTACTTTCAATAGATTGGTATATATATTTGTCCATATGGTTATATCATGACATTTGCTTGTAATTGTTAACAACACATAATCAATTTCTCCAAATATTAGTCTTCTAGACTATAGGAAAAATAGCTCTTTTATACCATTTGTAATGTTTGAACCATTAGCCTTTAGGGCTTTGATGTTTGTCACCATGTAGTCTCTCATGACTTTGATATTTGTCCCTATTAGATCATCAAAGTGCTATAGATTTCTCTTGTCATGCTATTTAAAGGCACCCATAGTGTTCTTTTACAAAAGAATCATTGCAAAAGTAATATGACTTCTAGTCATCTAATTATATGATCAAAAGTATTATGGCTTCTAGCCATTAAATAAATTGAAATTAAAATAATATTGCAATGAAATAAATTAAATTCAAATTCATAATCAAATATAAATAACAAATAAATCCAAATATAAATAATATTATATAATCATATATATAATTCTATGATAGATATAAAACAACATAATATGAACCAGATAGATATATGTAAACAAACAATCGAATAAGAAGTATTAAAAAATAAATAAAATAAATAACACAAAATCACAATGGGAAGATAACAAAATTAAAATGTATAGAAAAAATAAATTAATATATAACATAAAGGAACAACGTAATACATAGCAAATATATAGAAACTTAAAATTGCACATGATAATATGATAAAAAGAATAATTGAGTAAGGGGAAGTCAATAGAGAGAATTATTACATACTATAATAATATAATAATTTACAAAGCTTATACATCAAATCTTCAAAACAAACTCGTGCTGATAACATGTTATGAAAAGAAGAAAGTTAGAGAGTAGAAAGAAAATAGCAAGACAATAATTGGGAGAGAAAACAAGTAGTATTTCTCATACACATATATGTGTACAAATGCCTTGTACATTGCCTCTATTTATAGGCCCCCACCATTAAAGTCTAATCAAAGAAATGAATAAGGGGATAATGTCAATAAATATGAAAAACTCCTCTCAAGTCATTTATTGGGAGGTTATGGGTTTAGGACATTCAAAGATCAAGAATCCCATAAAGAATCCTAAGAGTTGGGGGTTATGGACATCCACATATATGCAATATGTATAACATAAAATGTATTTTTGAAAATAAAGAATGAGTTAATTTATTAAATTAAAGGAAGAAAATTCAATAAAAAATAATGATAAAGCACAGGGATTAAATATTAATTTTTTCAACTACCAAGATTGAAGTTTAATATAATTTCCCTTTATTACCTGTCATTATAAAATTTCAACATTACCACCAGCCATTTGGCTGAGTGGTGCTTGTGTGTATTAGTAGAAGGTATGTGTTGTGATGTGGGTTTGAGTCCGCCCCTATGTAATTAAAAAAAATTTCAATATTAGCATTGTTTACTAGTTTTTCATTTATATTCTTATATTCAATTCTTCACCAACTTTTTTTTTTGGGTGAAAATTCTTCACTAACTTCTTCCACGCAGTATGAGGTCAATCAACAAATTATAAAATGTAAAAATAATATAAAATTGCACCATCCACAAGTTGTGAAGAGTGCCATCTATTTTAGATCCCATACAAGTAAGCCCAGTTTTTTTCATTAAAAAAAAATAAAGAAAAGAAAACGAAGAAACGTACAAAATAGTTGTGGGATAGTCAAAACTCAAAATTGGCTTCTTACACAAGACAAATAATGCTAAAGTCCAAAATTGGCAAAAGCCACGAACAGTTTCTCCTTGCTTAATAAAAATAAGAGGGAAAAGATAACGAATCCAATGTCACATCATGCAAGTAGAACTAGTTGGTCTTATCAATAATGAACTAGTTGGTCTCTCAACGACAAGCAAGTCTGCTATTGGAATTTTCGAAAATCATTACTCCCCTCAATCTTAAATCCTATATGTATGCGCTAAATGATTAATTTATATTAAAAAATCAGTTAAGTTATTAATTTGTAATAATTAATATATGCTAATTCCTCAAATATCCTTTAATTATTTACATCAGAAACTATCGTTATTGCCAATAGCCTAGAGCATTTTTATAACTGAGAGGTCTTGAGTTCAATCTCCTTGTAATATGTAGATTTTAGATCCTATACATTTAGGACTGGAGAGAGAGTATTGATTAAAAGCCAGTCAATTGGCGGCGCCTTTCCATCCAACAACCAAATCGTTAACTTGAACGTTTCCATCATGGACTCCAAGTTGGGTGTGAGAAATGAAAACTTGTATATAAATATATGTAGAGATCATCTCTTTTCATTGCATTGCTTAATACCCTTTCTTATTCTCTTACCCAAAACCATAACGTTATTTCAATGGCAACTTCACGTTGGAACTCCTCATTTCAACAACCATGGAAGTACCATATTTTCTTGAGTTCTAGAGAAGAAGATACCAGAAAAGGCTTCACAGCTGAGTTACACGAAGCTCTAAAGGAAAGGAATATCAAAACTTTCATGGATTATGATATAAGGAAAAGACAAGGTATCAGCCCAGAACTCATTCAAGCCATTGAAGAATCTCTCTGTGCCATTGTCATTTTCTCTAAGGATTATGCTTCGTCTTCTTGCTGTTTGGACGAGCTCTCAAAGATTGTTGACTGCAAAAAATCATGGAGCAGACTGGTTTTGCCAGTGTTTTATAATATAGATCCATCTGATGTACTACATCAAAGAGGAACTTTTGAAGCTGCGTTTCAAAAACATAGTAAAAGATTACTCAAGAACAAGTGCAGAAATGGAGAAATGACTTGAAAGAAGTGGCAAATATAAGTGGCTATCATTGGACTGATGGGTAAGTCTGTGTTTGATTTGTCTTATATATGTCTTCCTTTTTATTGCGTCACCAATATTGTTATATTTTGTTTGGACATACTATTTCTCCATATTTCATGAGGTTAAAGTTGAATTTTGTCCGACAGTTTTTGCATAGAATCCAAAAAATTTTGTTGGATCGATAATATCCCCTCAAAGTATTTAAAAAGGAGCCATGTTGCCCCTAGATGTTAAAAATGTTAACAATCAATATTATTTTTTAAAATGGTCAACATTAGTTTTTAAACGGTTGGGGCAATTTTACTTATTTTTTAACATTTTCGGAGCTTATATTGATCCAGCAATAACTTCTAAATACTCACAATTTCTATGCAAAGTCTTTCTCGGCAATATTGGATTTTAACTCTATCATATATGCAGATATTCCATATATAATTCTTAAATTTTTCATCCGTGCAGGAATAAAGAGAACAACGTTGGAAAAATCGTTACAGGAGTATGGGTAAGATTATATTATGCGAAATTGCTTTTAATATTCTAATTTACCAAGATTAGATTTAATATAACCCAACAAAAGAGAATATTTCGTTTACTTGGTTTTCCTTAATCCACCCATGTTACAGACTCTAATTAACTTATTATTACAATAATTTAGGGACAAATTGTAAGTGAAATACCCTCGGTGCTCCAAAAGATGACAGCTACTGAACTAATTAATGGTAATCCAAAATTCATTGCTCAAGCGGTAAATTTGCTTTCTGACCTTGATCTCTCCAAACAGGTAATTTCTTGAAACTTGCCCCTTTTTAAGTTTTGGGCAACTTATATGAAAAAGTTGTTCGGTTTAATTTATTACTTCACACCCGCTCCCTCTAACGCAGTTTGATTATGGCTTTCCAGAGTTTACCGTTTAGGAATTTCAGCTATGCTCGTCTTAAGAATGTCAACTTCATCAGTCAAATCTTGACCGCACAAAATTTCTGGTATGCACAATTGTAAACACATCATATGGTATTAAAAGCCAATTTAGCTAGTTAGACAATGAACTAGTGAACTTGTCTTCTAGTTAGTCTCATCAAAAATTTTAAATTGCTCATTTTTAATAAAAGTAAAATACATGTCCACTAGATTTCTTTAACAAGTGTGCTTTGCTGGATTATGCGTGGTTTATACATAAATGTTCTTTTACTTGTGAATTAATGTTTTTTTTCCTTTAAATTAACTCTGCAGGGTTATATATGAATATTTTCACATATTTCTATTAAATTACATTATTTTAATCATGATGAGTTATAACTACACTTCAACTACTGTTAGACTACTGATCCTTGAACCATTGTCTCGAAGTATTTAATAATCAATTCAGTTTTTAGTATCTATTGACATATATACCTAACACATATGGATAACAATAGTTTAAGAACAACCATACACCATCTTAATTAATTTTTCAAATCAAATATATTTCACTTTATATATCTCTAACCTAGCTATCTTAATTGGTATAGGATGTTGACGCTGAAGACTGCATCTTTGACAACGCAAATTTGCCGCAGGAAGTAACTCAAACCAAAATTTTCATATTGGTAACACCAAAATTCAAAAGAGTTCTATCATATATATAGATCTTCTGATAATTTCTTGTGCTTTCAGATTTGATGAACTTGGATAGAATATAATCATCAATATACATATAAAATTTATAATTAGTCATGTTATTCATAAATCGTGAATAATACGCAGTTCATTCCTTGGACTCCTTGCAATCAATACATTGGAGTCTGATAACCTCTCAAAATTCTTACCTATTCAACTTGTTTTAGCACTCTTTTAGATGTTCTGGAAGTTAATTGTGCAGGAAAAAGCCCGAAGCTAGTAAAGAAGAGAGACTAGAAGCAGAAGAGCTAAAGCAAGGACCAACTGCCATGGCGCATGAAGCAAACCGCCGTGGCGGCTTAGATTGAAAAGAAAGGGAAGCATTCGGTGTAATCCACCGCGGCGTCTGACCATATCCGCCGCAGTACTCCAATCTGTCCCAAGGAATTGCCATTCTGTGTTAGGCGCCACGGCACCTGTTCACATCCGCCGCGGCACCCAACCCTTTTTAGGAGGCCCATTATGTGATATCTGCTGCGGCGAATGACCATATCTGCCGTGGCGCCTGACCTCTTGCAGCTGTACGTTTTATGGTGTAACATAAAAATTAGGATTGATATGTTGAGAAACTCGTGGTTTTCAGACACACTTCGACTTTGGGGGCTCATTTAGAGGCTTGCTATGCTAGGGTTTGGAGGTTTTGAAGCTTGGAATCTTTGGGCTCGAAGCTACAAGAGATTGGAAGCTTTTTCATCAATTTTTCTGGGTTTTCTTCTTCTCCTCTCTTTGTTTCTATAATGGCTAGTGACTATTCTTATAATTGTGGCTTTTTGCTAAACATGTATAGCTAAAATAGTTTTACTAGGGTTATTTTGATCTATTGTATGGATTAAAACTTGGTTTAACTCTCTCTTTAGTGTTAATGATAATGTTTTGTTGATTTTACCTTGAGCTTAATGCTTCCTCGTGACTAGCCATCATTTGGATTGATTAGTTGATTGGTTAAAGCTTGAGAAAATTAAATTAATCTGTGAACTTTGGTAAAAATGTGCTAGACCTGAAATTTTTCTTATTAAATGGAAGGTTTGTTGATAGAATAGAGATCTATCTATTGATCTAGCATAGTCTAAAAAAGGGTTTTGGTTTTTCAAAGTGTAACCTTTTCAAACAAATGCAAGAGATTGCTATGTTTTAATGAGATTGCAATAGTTTGGTTTTGACTTGAGAAAGCTTAATCAATTCTGTGAACCCTGGCTAACTGCACTTATTGTTAACTACTATTTGAGAAGTGATTAATCAAGTTTTATGAAGTATTTTAGTGATAAATAACCCTAGACCCTTAATTGTCTCAAAGTCAAGTTTATTTTACCTCAATTTAAATCGTTATTTTTCTGATCGCATTACTCAACCTCTTTTACAACTTTTACTTCACTTAACGTAATCAAGAACACAATTATGATTTTTAACTCATCTGGCCTTAGTCTCTGAGGGAACGATACTTTTTATATTACTTGCGACCCGTCCGCTTACGGTTAAGATATTCGGCGAACAAAGTCCACCTTATACTTTGTTATATTCATACTTGACTGGGTTAGTTTCACATTTTGTTCTTTCCATATGTCTATGTATGTAGCAAGACATATTATATTTTATATTTTGTTGTTTGACAGATGTAAACTTAAGAGTGCAATTTTTCGTGGAGTTTCACTAAATAATGCTTCCCTCCGTGGAGCAGATCTAGAAGGCATGTTAATATCTATTTTTTTTTTCCTGAACTTAAAAAGTTGAGTTTTAGAGCCAACGAATAGTTTTAACTGTCCTGCTCTAACATTTTGTCAATACTTACCCATGTATGAATCTCACTGAAACAATAGATGTTGACAATTTGGGATTCTACAGATGTTTGCCTACGTGATTGTAGTTTACACGGAGCAGATCTGACCTCTGCAGTTCTAAAGGTTCAGGCTAAATCTATACTGTACATGTGATTAATTAGAAGAATTATCTGTTAGTTAATTAGTTAAGAATCTATAATTGAAAGTGAGCCGGTTTGTTGGTCAATTATAGTACAAATGTAGTGTGTGAGTGGATGCTATGGATCAATGTGCATATAATTAGAGTACTATGGAATGACATTAACGGGGATTTGGCCTAAAGAAAGAGACTAGTTCCTTCGAATTTTTATTGGGAGAGATACCTATATTTAATACTTGACAAGGCTTCAAATAGGCCTCTGATTAAACCCAACTCTTTATTGTCTTTTCATATCATTTTAAGGGTTTTTATCATAATTAGTAGCTCTTTTAGTGTTTATTGTGCTTAAATTATATTAAAGTGCCTTACCTTGAATTAGTGCATAATAGGGGCAAAATTGTCATAATTGGAGATTAATTATTATTAATTGATTTCTAGGATAATTGATGCTATATTATGTATGATTTTCCTTGTAGGTACTTTGGGAGAAATTTGGGCAAATTTGGAAATCACACTTTAGTCCCAACATTAAAGGTAGTAAAAGACCGGATTAATCACAGAAAAAGGCCCCAGAATTCAAGAAATTACACCAGAGGCCCTGAGTAAATGAAGCTTTGCGTTTTGGCTGAAAGGTACCATCCGCCGTGGCGGATGGACAAATCCGCCGCGGCGGATTTGTCAGAATTGCAAAAGTCGCGATTTCAGCATTCTAATTCGGATCCCTAAGCTTCAACCCGACCCCAAACCACCTCTAGTAACCAGTATAAGCTGAGTTTCAACCGAGGGAAGCCTCATTCGGTCTCTCCTCACCTCTCTTTGGCTGAATCATCCTCTCATCTCCTCATTCCACCAATTCTTCATTACATTCCATCATATTTCCCTTTAATCCATTCATAACCTCTTCTTCCATGGAGATTCAACTATTGTTGCCGGTTGGAGCAATGCTTGGAGTGATGGAGGGCTAGGGGTTCTTCAACTCTTGAAGATGGTTGATTGGCATGAGTTCCAAGAGCTTCAAAGGGGAGTTAGCTTCATCCATAGTTCTAGTTGTTTATTTATAAATTTCTAGGTCTTAGGATTCGTAAATTGGGGCTGAACTGTTTTGATTATGGTTGTAATCAATTCTGGATGATTATCTTGTGTATTGGATTAGTTAATGTTGAATTTGAGCTTCAATATATGTGGTTACATATATGTTTCTATGCAACTCTTTTGATACTCTCTTTCTTGCATGGTATTGTTTGATTGTTGAGTTAATCTGGGCTTGCATTAAACCAAGTGCATTAATTAATCTTAATACACACACTAAGTAAGCTTAATAGGATCTTATAAGATGGGTGGCCATTGATTAAGATCCTAGACTTGAAGGGTTCTTTAAGGTTTTTCCTTTAGAAAACTTGGTGATTTTTACTCCCCAAAATCATTTTGAGCTATGATTGCCAAAGGTCCATTTTCAAGAGGTTTTATCAACTGTTTCAATACTTGTTTCCCATTCATTCCATCGTAATTTCCCAAAAATCCAAAAATATATTTACATTGCATTTTATCTCAATTAATAGTTTTAATGAAAACCCCCAACTTTACCCTAGTCAATTTGCATTTTCATGGCATTTAGTTAACTTAGGATCAATAGTTAAGGCTCCAACAAGTGAAACGACCCGAGGTTGTGCCTATAGTACAATCCTTGGTTTTAATTTTGAATTTGACCCTAAGGTGTAAGCAAGACAGGTCACATTTCAAGTGGCGCCGTTGCCGGGGAGCCAAGAAATTGGTTCCCTAGGTTAACTTGTGTCAACTCATTGTTGACTAGGGTTAAGAGCCTTTTTAGGTTGCATTTAGGTAGTTTATTTGCATATTTATTTATAATATAGGTTTTTCATTCTGCCTAGCATCAAAATTTTGAGAAATACAAACAAAAATCCTGATTTTCTTACTTTTCATACTTGCATTCTTGCATATAAGTTCATACTTTGCATTTTGCATTGGCTCTCCATTGGTGTATTGATTGGTTTTTCTTGCACCAATTGGTTTCTTGGCTTGGTTGCTGCTGAATAGTTGGTTGTGTTGCTTTAACTTGTGGTTTGATATTTTGTGAATGTGCAATTTTGGTTTTAAATCCATTTAGATGCACACACCATCTCTCCAAGTCACTTATAATTGGTTTTGAAGGTGTTCACATTAGGAAATTGGTTTTGAACTCATTTGCTCAAAGTTGATTTTGACAACTTAAAGTTTTGGAGTGTATAGAGAAAAATTTTGGTTTAATATCTTCAATTTTGTATCCAAGGGTTTTTGCATGAAAAGTATTCATATTCAAGTGTATTTAACTTCTTGGAACTTATTTTGATTGGTTTAGAACTTTGGTTGTTGGAAAAATTCAAGTTGGCATCTAATCTGAAACTTTTTCTGAATTTTCGCTGTTACTGTTGGTGGTTCTGTGAAATCCGCCGTGGCGCCTCTTCAAATCCGCCGCGGCGCCTGTCTCCAACACATAGAAAATTTGATTCTGTGAAATCCGCCGTGGCGCCTCTTCAAATCCGCCGCGGCGCCTGCACCGTTTTCAAAAAAAAAAAAAAATCTTTTTCTTTTTCATTTATTCTTATGCACACACCTCATACACACACTTACCACCCATACCATACATCTTATACATATTTTCACACACTTGCATTCATCACATCTCATCTTTTTATTTGGCTTTGTGTGCTTTTCAGGTCAATTTTGTTTTCTTCTATTTTGATTTGAGTTACTCTCTTGTATGCCCCGAAAGACCAAACTTGTACCTTATAATCCTGAGATTGAAAAGAGTTTAAGGAAGATAAGAAAAGAAAAGAGAGCTGAGGGGACAAGTGAGGTAATAGTTGAAGAAAATATCTCTCTAGAGTCTAGTTTTTCTAGTAGTGAGAGTGAATCAGTTAACGAAGAGATAATGGCCGACATCCCACCTAATCCACCCAACCCTAACCCCAATAGTAACCAACTTAGAAATGGTGGTAATGGAGGAAATGGAGAGCATGAGAGAGTTGGAGAGAATAATGGCAACCCTAGAAGAAGAACTATTAGGGAAGCCACAACATCTGATGTTAATTTTGATCCCTTTACTGCTGCTTGCCCTAACTTTGAAGTAAACTTTGAAATTAAAGGTTTATTAATTAACTCACTTCCAAAGTTTCATGGCTTGTCAGGAGAAGATCCATACCTCCATTTGCAATCTCTTTCTATGGTGTGTCAGAGTATGAAGCCTGTGGGAGCATCACTGGACCAAGTCTTATGGAAGGTCTTTCATTTATCGTTGGAAGGAAAAGCTAGAGAATGGTATATGAGTCTTCCAAGACATGTGGCAGATGCTTATCACAGTTGGGGGAACTTAAGGAAAGCATTTTTAGAGAAATAC